GCCCCAAAGGTCTTTTTTTTTTTTTTTAAGATTTTATTTATTTGTCAGAGAGAGAGAGCACAAGCAGGGGGAGCAGCAGACAGAGGGAGAAGCAGGCTCCCCGCTGAGCAAGGAGCCCGATGCGGGACTCGATCCCAGGACCCTGGGATCATGACCTGAGCCGAAGGCAGACGCTTAACCAACTAAGCCCCCCAGTTTGTCTTAACTTGATTGTGAAATAGCTCCTTGAGCTGTGACACAGCTTCCAAGATGATCGCTTGAAAGGCAGGACACTCGGATTCCGTCCTCACTTAGGGCCCATCTGGCTTTCAGCAGCGGTGCTTGGGTGGCATGTAATGCAGCAAAGGCAGTTTTCTCCGTGGGGCTGTCATGGAAATGCATAACCACCGGAAGTTCACATTATTATGCTAGCTGTGTCCCAAACACCGATGCTCTGTCATTGGAGAATTCAGAGCAATACAAGTGTATGCGGTCACTCCTAACAAGATCTGAAAATCAAGTATTAGCAACGCCGTCAGCTGCAAACCAAGAACCAGGTATGATGGTGGCAACACATCCCTTCGCTTTGATGATGCCGCTCACTGTGGAAATGGACAAGACCATGTTCTTTAAGCTTCCACAGTCTACGGTGAAGCCGGCTTCCGCTGGCTGGCCCGGGCGTTCCACTGAAGGGAAGCTCTGAAGCTTTGCACGGCACCCCTGGCAAGATGAAACCTTGTGCGCGAAGACAATGTACTTTTTCTTCTCCCAGGAAAAGGCACGGCTTCCATCCTCATGCTTGGCAAGCTTTATGGGTAAACACCATTCTCGGCTCGGCCTCTGACTGACCCTTATATGAACCACCAATAGAGGTCGCCACGAGTGTGTCCTGTGAGCAGGTTCTTGCAAAAGAGCAGCGAGCACAGTCCAGACCAAAAAACAAAACGCCCACAAAACCACAAAACTACAGCCAGGATCTGGTAAGTTGGGGAATATTTGGGGCTTCCTCCAGAGTGGGGTAGAATCCGGAGACCCCGTCCCACACCTGATTCTTGTCCCTCCTTGTCCTGCGGCTAATTGGTGCAGTCGGAATGGGACCAGCTCAGATTGAGGTCTTTGCTCCACGGGACCTGTGAAATCTGCCCCAGGTTTTCGCTTCTGCTGTTCTGTGCGCCCTCGCAGCCCCCAGCCAGCCCAGCTCCGGCCTCTTCATTCTGTCTTCCCTTGCCTCTTAGTCCTAAAATATATGGCCATGGGCAAGGTTTTTTGTTTTTTTTTTCCCCTGCGCTGCCTTTTTTCTGGCATTCAGTGGCCTCATCACCCAGGATTTTTATTTTGTAGGAAATCCACGTCTTGTCAAATGACTTGCCTGTGTGAGAGTTTTGGTGGCTTTCTGTCCCACCCACCCCTCAGGGCCTTCCTGGTCTTTCTCTTTCCAGACCCCTGGCCATTCACCTCTCCCCAAGGCTCTATACTTGGTCCTTGGGCCACTTCCACCCAAGTGGATGATCAGATGCACTGCGCGGAGCTCTGACTTTTGGAGTTATTTCCCCTCACTCCTGTCTTCCAAGGACACCCCCTGAGTAAGGCTATTCATGCAGCCACCACGTATTTCCTGCTTCTTGTGCCCACAGATCCAGCCCAACGAACCACGTGTGGCAGGAGTGAAGCTGGGAAGGAGAGAGCCAATAGAAGGATGCGTAGCCAAGTTGGCCACCACTGTGTGACTCTTCCCTTGGTCCTGATGAGGGAGCAGAGGGCTAGCTGAGGACAAAGCAGAAGCTGACACCCTACACACACACACACACACACACACCATGTGGCGTGTGTGACATTCCTCAGGCACTCCTGGTTGCCCTAAAGGAAAAACGAATGGTTAACTGATAGAGATCACAGTCTTGCAGGACAGGAATCTCCTTCAGTTTACGAAAGTCTTCACAATTTACAAGGACAAAGCGTTTCTATCAACGGCCTAGCTTCCAGAAGGGAATGTAGATACAATTAAATGTCCTTATAATTTGCAGCCCACTGACAGATACTTGAAGAGGGCAAAGTGTAATGTTTCTCCAGGAAGCTCCCAACTATCTTACTTATCTACGCTTACTAGAAGGAAAAGCAACCTTAACTTGACCATGGCAAGGCCTCTGGTATCCTGTGAGTCTTTAACATACAAAAATCCTTTTGAAACCTCCCTTTTCCTTACCTCCCCCAACTCCCAAGTATATAATCAGCCACCCCTCACAACTGCAGGGCAGCATCCCTTTCTGCCCACGGGTCCTGTCCCCAGGCTTTAATAAAATCACCTTTTTGCCCCAGAGACGTCTCAAGAATTCTTTCTTGGTCGTGGGCTCCGGACCTCACTTATATTCTAAAACTTCATCAGTCCCACGGAACTGTCTCGGAGAGAAGTGATGTAAAACCTGTCTCAGGACAGTTTGTCCCGGGCGAGGAGAACAGACGTATCCACTGACTCCCGTGTCCCATCCGCGGCTACTACCCCCCAGGGCAGGCACTCTCCTGCACTTGGGGGTTGCACAGTGTGGGTGCTGGCTGGGAACCCCGGCAGCGTCCACAGGAAAGCTCCCACGTGAGAGTCCACAGGCGTCAGCTGTGTGGTTACGACGGCATGAAGCCCTTGCAGGACCGGCACTGCAGTGGTGGCTGGATCAAGACTCGTGAGGCCCAGAGGATGTAAAGTGTTGCATAAAGGGGGAAAGGGGGTGTCTGTTACCGCTACGTAACGGTAAGTGAACGAAGTCCCAAAAGATTTCGTTTGGCGCGATGACCATTTCATTTAATTACAAATAACTACTGTAGTTGTCTGCACTTTCTAGGCAATCCATATAACTGCAATAGAGCTATATAGTAAGAAAAGCAAAGATGCGGTGAATGGGAGGGTCGGGAAGTTATGCTGGGAGAGGAGCGATGCGGAGGGGTGAGGAAACGGGGAGTTGGCACAGTCACAGTTCAAGGTTAAAAGCCGCGCTGCGTCCCGCTGCCACAGGAGGGCGCGCGCTGCTATAGGTGTGGACGCGCCCGGCGGCCACGTGCGCCGCCGCAGGGTTTTGTTTTCGCAAAAAGGAAAGTTGAGGCCAGCTGCGAGAGGGGTGGCAGGGCACCAGCGGGCGCGGCTGCTGGCAGGGGACCCCGGGGACTCCCCGAGGAGGGCCCCCGCCCCGCGCGCTGCCCTGGGTTTCGGGAGGAAGCAGGTGCCGGCCCGCGAAGCGTCGGCTCGCTGCGGCCTCAGCCCTGACTTTCTGGGGGCGCGACAGACACCCTCGGTCCCCGGCGCCCGCGGGCCCCGCAGGGTGGCAAACTCAGGGCCCGCGGGCGGCGCAGAGCCTCCGCACGGGCTTGGTTCGGCCTGAAGCGTCTCTTTTAAAAGTTTGTTTGGCAGCCTTTTTAAACTCAGGAAATGTGGAGCCTAAAAATCCAGACTTCCCCGTCTCTCGGGCACTCGGGGCATCTGGCAGCCCTGGGGTGCTTCCCCCCCGCCCCCAAGCACCCCCTTCCCCGGGGAAGGGAGGGGTTTTCATCGTTTTGGTCAGGTGGATATTCAGCGGGACCATCATTCTGGCTGTTACCTGAGCCAAGGGGCACACTTGATACCGCATTTCCTTTTTTGCACAACTCTGCAGTGGAGTTAACCGTGGTCTTCCTCAGTTGCGTAATTCTCCTGGACAGAGAAAATTACAGTAAAACCCCAGCGAGCCACCAGTTGCCCCCTTCACCTCACAAGGTCCAAACGCTCCAGTTAGCCTCCTGGTGGCCTTCGTGAGGAGGCCCCTCCATGTCCCCTCTCCCAGCCTGGGCTGGTTGCTCTAGCCAGGCCCCTGGTGCCCAGCCTGGCAGCAACCTGCCTCTCAGGGGGTTCTGAACGTTTAGTTTTGTTTTTTGTTTCGTTTTTAAACAGAGAACCCCCCCTTTTCAATCTAAACTGTATGAAACTCCACTATGTAAAACAGGAAAAAGGTATCCATGTAAATGGCCAGCTTACAGTTCTATATACTTACTGTAAGGTCAGTCCATAAGAACGGGATTAATTTGAAAAGCCCACAATTTGGAGTAAGAGCACTGGGGCTGTAGCCTCATCTCTGCATTCATTCCCCTGCTTTGTCTTGGCTGTGCGGGTCGGAGAAATCCCGCTCCACCCAGGACACCCAGGACGCGGCAGGTTCAGAGACACTCACCTGGAGGCGCGAGGCCAG